TCTTGTTATGGCTCATATCTCTTTGGGTAAATACTAAGTGGAGGAATTGCTGGATCATAAGCTATTTCTGTGTCCAACCTTCTGAGGAAGCGCCCTATTGCTTTCCAGAGTGGTTGGACCATTTTGTAGTCCCACCAACAATGAAGGAGGGTCTCAGTCTCTATACATCCTCACCAGCATTTATTGTCCTTTACTCTTTGGATCTTTGCTGTTATTGCTGGTGTGAGATGATAGATACCTCATTGTTGTTTTGATTTGCATCTCTCTAATGGCTAGTGGGAGTCCTGGTGTGGCGCTGTGAGTTAATGTGCTCGACTGAAAAATGATTTGAGCCACAGTTCAAGCTCAACCACTTGCTCCTTGGAAAACCGTATACAGGCGTTGCTATGGGTTGGAACCGACTCGAGGACACTTACCAGCAGCAACAGCAATGGCTAGTGATCGTGAACAATTCTTCATATGTTTTTTGGCTGCCCAGATCTCCTCCTTGATGAAGTATCTGTTCATGTCCTGTGCCCATTTTTTAATTGTCTTTTTCTTGTAGAGGTGTTGTAGTGTCCTATATATTTTACAAATGAGTCCCTTGTCTGATGTGTCATTGCAAAAGAGTTTTTCCCATTCTCTGGGTTCCCTTTTTACTCTTTTAGTGAAGTCTTTTGATACACACAAGTTTTTAATTTTCAGTATGTCCCGATCATCTATTTTGTCTACTTTTGTTTGTGTAGTTTTCAAAATGTTTGGTAGTCTGTGTATGCCCTGAATTAGAGTCCTCACTTTTGTCCCTATTTATTCATTGATGGCCTTCATAATTTTGGGATTCATATTTAGGTCTTTAATCCAAGCTGACTTGCTTTTTGTATGGGACATGAGGTAAAGGTTTGTTTCAATCTTTTGCATATTACCTTTCAGGTCTGCCAGCACCATCTGTTAAAGAGACTATCTCCTCCCCATGCACTATACCTAGGCACTTTGTCGAAAATACACACAAGGGAATATTATGCTACCTTGGAAATCATAATTTTTTTTTAGAATAATTTTTATGAATTTTCATTGAAATTTGCTTCTCACAATATATGGTATCTGAGGAATTCTTTCTGTTATTTTGCATGAAATATTAGTAGTTCAACACAGCATATTAGTTTATAATCCATTGTTATTGCTTATATCACTACATTTCTTATGCAAAAGATAAAATGAAGGTTTTTAAAGCACTTATAGAGTATGTTTTAAAGATTGTACCTTTATTTTTTTCAATGCTTAAATATGTTGTACACTGAATCACACATTTGTGTAGCATGTTTTCACAGAAAAAGGAAGGCCTGCTGTAAAACATCTTAGAAGAGTTTTGCTTGTTGCTACTCTAGCATGTATTTGATACTCAGCTTTGTTGTGAAAACACAGTGAATGTGGTTTTAAAAAAATGTTTATTATTCACATAGTTCCATTTAACCCTATGGGTATATTTTAAAATAGGCCTTTGGAGTTATGTCTATTTAACGTGTTCTCTCTTTTCTTTTTGCCCCTACAGAAATTCATGATGAAGGTAAGACATTGGACCATCTACTTATATGCTGTGTAATTTTCGGTTGGTTAAAATTATGTTATAGTTGAAGTTAGGGTAGTTTTCTTAGTACCCTAACCAAATCAAGCTTTGGATAATTAAAATTCAAAAAAGTAAATCATATATTTAGATGTAACAACAGACATTTGATGTCTTTGGGTCATATTTTAGTATGTGAACTTTTGTTTAAACATTAGAAATTTGTCCCATAAAATAGATATTTCTGTAGCTCTCTGTTTAGGGTTTTCACTCTGAGGCATATATTGGCTGTTTTGTCTTTGAGTATACTTGTATGAATGAACACATAAGAAATTTATTCCCTAGGTAATTAGAAGAGGACCAGGAAGTTAATATCTTATTTCCTTCTTCAGAAGAGATCAGTTTAATCCCTTTACATTTCTCAGTGGAAATGGTTTTAAAGGACACAAAAGATTACAATATTTTCTTGTCAAAGAAGAAAATATGCAAAGAAAGAGAGGAAGAACAGAGTGTAATTATTTTAGATTATACTGTTGAACTTTTTTTTTTTTTTTTTTTTTTCATTTTGGAAAACCTACATTTTTCGTATAACATGATATTTAATTTTTATTCTAAAATAAGATGAACAACAGAGATATGTATTTTTATTCATATCATAAGGGTATAGTATCATTTAGAATGGCTAAAGAGAATGGCTAAAGATTTACACCCTTGGAAACCCTATACAGGGTCGCTATGGGTCGGAACCGACTCGATGGCACATAACAACAACACAACAAAGAGCATTATTTCAAAAAAGATATGAACCGTTTTCATCAAAATTTCAGATGTAGATTTAAAAGGTTGGGTTGAAGGAAGAAAGGAAGCTGGGTACTCAGATCAATCTATTGAGTTATTGTAACAAACTCTATTGTTCTTATTATGCAAAACTGAGCCAGGTGAATTATGGTGTACCAAAAACAGACCGTAACAATTTGACAGTCTGTTAGGGATGACAGAGCAGAGCACCTTTTGAATCCATCTATCAACAAAGAACAAGTAATTTCCAAAATGCCAAATAACTCAAGCTATCATTTGTCAGTATAAAAAATTATTACATTGAGAAGACAGGACATTATTGACTACAAAATTGAGCATGTACTGAAAAGATGAGAAAAATAAATCTTAAAGTATTTTGATTTTACATAGCAAATTAAGTTGCTTTACTTAGTCGTAATACAAGAGGCACTGTAGTTACCAAATATATTGTAAATGTCTATTTAAAAAACCAGAGTCAGTAACTTTCAAGTAAATATGCCTCCTTGGTTTACTAGTCATTACTATTGTAGTTTTACATATATGGATTTTCCATCCCTGTTGGATTTTAAGCTATGATAATACCTTACATGTAACTAGGAAGACCCAGCTTGTCTCTTCCTCCAGAGAGAGGAGCAGGCAATTAAATTATGCTCTTTGACACCATATTGTTGTTGTTAAGTGCCGTCGAGTCGGTTCCAACCCATAGCGACCCTGTACATATGATTCTACATAAATGTTGATCTGCGTTCCCCTCTGGGGCAATTTTTGGCAACATCCTAGAAAGCTAAAGGGACAGGAATACCTAAGAATACTAAGTTGTCACTAAAATAATTTGTAAATAGTATGTGCTTGGGACTGTTTTTATTCACTTAATGTTTCATGCCACTACTCATCTGTCAGTTTGTCGTACTATGGTGGCTTTAGAGTTGCTGTGATTCTGGAAGCTATGCCACCGGTATTTTGAATACCAGTAGGGTCACCTATGGTGGACAGGTTTCAGATGAGCTTTCAGACGAAGACAGACTATGAAGAAGGAGATACAAACTACTTCTGAATATTTAGTCACTGAAAACCTTATGATTAGCAGAGAAACACTGTCAGATATAGTGCCGGAAAATGAGCCCCTCAGTTTGGAAGGCACTCAAAATGCAACTGGGGAAGAGCTGCCTCCTCAGAGTAGAGTTGATCGTGATGACATGAACAGAGTAAACCCCCTGGGAGAAAACCCTGCAAAACCCTCATTTTCTGATAGGGCACAACTCAAAAGAGAAACAGCTGTAAGCATCCATTAATAATCGGAACATGGATTGTATGAAGTATGAATCTTGGAAAATTGGAAATTGTTGAAATGGAACACATTAACTTTGATATCTTAAGGCATTAGTGAGCTGGAATGAACTGGTATTGACCATTTTGAATCTGAGAAACACATTGTTTACTATGCTGGGAATGACAAATTGAAGAGGAATGGTGTTGCATTAATTGTCAAAAAGAACATATCCAAATCAGTCATGAGGTACAACGCTGTTTGTGATAGGATTATATCTATGCATTTACAGGGAAGCCCAGTTAATACCACTATTACTCAAATTTACCACCAACCACTAAAGCCAGTGAGGATGAAATAGAAAAATTCTACCGACTTCTTCAATCTGAAATCGATCAAACATGCAATCAAGATATATTGATTATTACTGGTGATTGGAATGCAAAGTTGTGAACAAAGAGGAAGGATCAGTAGTTGGAAAAAATGGCCTTGGTGATAGAAATAATGCTGGAGATTGTGTGATAGAACTCTGCAAACCCAATGATTTGTTCATTTCACCTTCTTAAGAGCGTTTGAAAAACTAGAAGAAACTTCTACAGTAGCAATTTTGAATGTTTTTTCCTTTGTGACAGACACAAAAGCATATTTTCAATTTGAACATTAGGAAAGGATTTATCCTTGGTGAAATAAACGTTTTATCAAGTTTTCAGAAAAATAAAATGAGAACATTTTGTAAAAAAACAAAACAAAAAGAATGATTATACACATGGACCTCGCCAGATGGAATACACAGAAATCAAATTGACTACATCTGTGGAAAGAGATGGTGGAGAAGCTCCATATATATCATCAGTGAAAACAAGGCCAGGGGCAGACTGGGGAACAGACTATCAGTTACTCATATGCAAATTCAGACTGAAGCGGAAGAAAATGAAAATAAACCCATGAGAGCCAAACTATGAGCTTGAATATATCCCACCTGAATTTAGAGATCATCTGAAGAACAGATTTAATACATTAAACACTAAAGACTGAAGACCAAAAGAGTTGTGGGATGACATCAAGAACATCATATAGGAAGAAAGCAAAAAGTCATTAAGAAAACAAGAAAGAAGGAAAACGTCAAAATGGGATGT